AGACTGAAACTTTTCACCTCGGGCAAAGCTTCGTCGCACGGCCCAAACAAACATAGCGAGCAACAGAGTTTGTTGTATATGTGCGTGTTAAAACACACGAAAGGACTCCAAAGGACACTTCACTCTGATTGGGCAGAAAAACACAAAGATTTTCTAGCACCAATCAGATGCCTGAACGACTGCGACCGTTTGGAACTAGTCTTGTAAGACAATGTCCCCAGGGGCTCTTCTGTCCTTAACTTGAAATCGACTCACAGCCCCTGGGGTCTCCGAGGATGAAATTTTGGACATGCCTTTCAAATTTCGATGTCTTGTCTAAAGAGGTAACAGACACTAAGACTGAATTATAAGCTCTCCTTTTCCCCTGAATAGATGCGTCAGTGACTTACTCTTTGCGTTTTGGTTTCCCAAAGGAGCATTTATACTGTACTACTCAATTTCCTTAAACTTATAATAATTTTCAGAGCATGACCAACCTAAAAACCAAACAAGTAACCAAAATAACCAAGTACAACTTAGATAAATCTCATAGTGAGTCATGTCAAGGAGTACTTTAACAGTAGACAACCAGTTGGCCTCAAAAGAGAAAAAATGTCAGAAAGCAACCAAGTCCCAAGTATTTTTACTTTTAATCTGATTGGCTGAAGGCGAGTTGTTGCCGACCAATCATGGAGCTTAGTTTAGTGAAATCATTTACTTCCCCGATCACTTTGGTCAGTCGATTGAAAATTGCTCCACAGATAACCGAGCAGATTAAGGTAAGGTGTCCATTTATTTTTATTTCTATGTCACGTCTGCAAAAGTGCACTTCAGTCATATCAGTATGATTTATCCTGTTTTGCTTGTCACACTTCCTGCCATTAAAAACTCCAATTTAAAAGCATTCAGTGATATGAACAGAATGCATAATCATTTGTTGCTTTGAAATATGGAGACCACATGCCTGAATTCTAATAGAAGGTTCACGACATGAGCTCATTATGATCTTCTTTAAATGTTAAAAGTTAATCGGTAGACTAGTGATAACGTGAGATTTAGCAATCAGTTTTGGACTAGTAAGGTATAGGCTTACATGATTCATGCGCGGAAAATTTTAACTTGCATCCCATACCAGAGAACATTCTGGTCTTACAATTTAAATTCATAATAACATATCTTGTTGCCATCGATCAATATTAAAAATAAAATCAACACAACTTGTTTGCATGGAATTGATGACCATCGGTTCATCTGAGGTTCCATGCAATTAGCGAGCCGGATGAAATATCTCTTCTTTTTGTCGGCAAAATAGTTACAGTTGATTACTTAAATGTACACTGACGATTTCCTGTGTATGTGACCAGTTATTTGCTGTTGACCAATAATAAGACGGGGCGGAAAACTGTTCCATTGTAATTCTTATGAGCCTTGAACAAACAAATACGAGTCCATAGGAAGAATAATTTTATTTAGTTGGCCAGTAGAGTGTGTCAGAGGGGACGCTTTAAATTACGGAATTAAGATATGATTTCATGATTAATATACATGATTATGGATCAGCAATATAGATTGTTCTTTGGCTAAGGTGAAAGAAAACGAAATACGATAGATCATTTTATTGCTGGCTTGTCCAGTGGAGATAGATCTTTGTTCAATCTATTTGTCATAAGAACTGATCGAAAAAATGTAAAAATGTAAAATAAGAAAGACTAAATTGGGTTTGTTGTCGAAATTCGAATATTGTGCTTCTCACAAACCGGAAGCCATGGATCTTTTTAGCTGATTTTGTATTGGTTGAGGTATTCATCTGGAACATGCGTCGATTATCTACAAAATATATCTTCTCACTTATACCATCTTAAAGATGACAGTGACGTATTGGGTTAAATTGAACTCCTGCACTATATAAAATGATAAAACTGCTTCACTAGCAAATGCAAACATGCCTTGATCCTGTCAACACAGCCGTCCACCACTGGTCTGCAGATTGGTCCACATTGTTGTCTGCTTACACTTAAAAAGAAAGTTTTTACGTCGAGTCTCGACATATTTGAACAACATTACTGTCAACCTTTTACCGATAAACCAGTGGAAAGGTAAGAAAACCTCGTATTTGGTGAGCGTAAGTTTTACTTCAAAAAGGAAAAAAAATTCTCTCATTTTCTAAAGGTACTTTCAGTCAAGAAATCAAAAATTCTGTCGAAAGTGATTCGTTTCTGTTATTCTGTTTACACATTCATAAAACATTTAAATTCACTCAGACATCGAGTGAAAAAAAAAAAACTTAAATCATATTATAACAGTGACGTGATGCTGGCCGGATGGATATGGAAATAACTATAAATTGTAAGAGGATGTTATTAATTCAGTTAAGATATACTGATTAACCAAGTATCTTCCAATGCTGCACACGATTATTAATTTTTGAGGTGACCTGTACGAAATTACATTTATAAAAGTTACCTCCAGACTATTTGCGCGCTGTTACCATATCATTCAAGTTGATTGTTAGGAAAACGGTATACAACCTCCATTTCGGAAAAATACTGAAACATCCGAATGAACCCTTTATTTAAGTATGTCCCTCCTTTCTTTCGAAAATTTGTGAGTGCTTTAAGAACGGAGAATATCGAAGAACTACGCAAAGATACTCCGTGACTATATGATATGACCCTTTGTGAAGATTTCCAAATTAAGATAATTTGTTCAGACTGTGAGCTAGTTGATTTTGTAAGTATTGTGTTCCTTCCTTCTTGCGGTCAACTGCTGAAAATCCTCGAGAACATTCGCAATCTATCTTCACTGCCCTATTTTTCTGGTTTCACATCCCCTTTTCCAACCTTTGCTATTGAATTGCAGTTGCCGACAGCCTCGAGCTTAATAACAGAATTTAAAGGTGTGCTGGCTGCGCTTAGTCAACAATTGAACGATCCATTGGATGGTGGAATCAGAGAGTTTTGATTGTCTGAGTCACAATGATATCTGATCCATTGTATCCTGGCTAAAGGAAGTCTCATTCCCACGCGTTTTTTGGTTATGTTTACAGCCAACTGGCTAGGCATTGTCTCTTTAACTGTATACCATTCCATATCCATTATGTTCTCATAAAATAATTGCTAAGAAACGAACAAAAGCACCTGTTGCGCCTGTGTAAAGAAAGCAATACAACATGTTAAAAAGCATCAAGATGGAGAACTTCAAAATTCAAAACTAATGGCACAATTATTGCTTCTGTCTCAATGAGCTACTTCAGCAGAACATATTCAAATTTAGCGATAAAATACAATTCAGGACGATAACTTTTCTTGACAAAGGTTATAAAACGCGAGGGCTTGAAAGTGGATTACACCTTTCGTGGCGTAATTTTTATGATAATTTCATAAAATTTCTTTAGCTCATTCAACCTGAATATAACTCAAATAACTCACCCGCGCTGAGTGAAAAAAAGAAAAGGTTTGTGAACTTATTAAGGAACATGTGACAAAATGGTATGAGGAACAAAATGTGTGACAACATGGAACCAAGGCTAAGTTATAACATGGTGCCATGGCTGGGTACAAATGATTTGTTGTAACGTGGTCTTTAGGATGGTTAGCAATACGGTTTTGAGGATACCTTCTAAAGTAATTCGAAGGCTGCGGTGTTACATGCTGAGCAAGCTTGCTTGTAACTTGCTATCAAGTATGAATTCTAACGTAACATGGTGCCAAATATGGATGGTCACATGATATCAAGTATGCGTGGCAACATGGTGCCAAGGGAGGATTCTACCATGGTATCGAGAATGTGTGGTAACCAAGTGCTAAGGGTGGATTGTGCCATTGTAACATGATGCCTAGGGTGGATTGAGCCATGGTAACAAGGATGGGTGGAAACGTAGCGCCAGGTGTGATTTTATCATAGCGTAAAGGTTGAATACTGGCATAGTGCCAAGGGCGCATCTTACGACGATAACAAAGATGAGTAATAACAGGGTGCCAAGGGTAGATTGTACCATGGCATCAGGGATGAGTATTAACTTGGTGCCGAGGATAGATTGTACCATGGGGACATAGTGCCAAGGGTGGATTTTACCATGATAACAAGGATGAGTGTTAACATGGTGCCGAGGATAGATTGTACCATGGTAACATGGTGCCAAGGGGGGATTTCAACATGGTATCGATGATGGGTGATAACATGGTTCTAAGGGTGGATTGTAACAAAGTGTTAAGGATCGGTTTTAAAACGGTGTCAAGGCTTGGTTATGACATGTTTTAAAGGATTGCTTTCAAAATCGTGTTAGAGATGGTTTGCTGAAAATGATGCTGTTTAATATGGATTTCAGTTTGAGAGAACTGAACTGAAGAGGAAACTGGGGCTTAAGCATGATGTCAAAGCTGTTGACTACAGCGTCGATGGACATATTTATGGTAACTGTGTCACTTAATTAGCTCCAAGACCTTGTAATTCCATTGTAAAAGCCATTACATTGGATTTACTGCATTATATTTATGTATGGCAAAATTCTTTTTTAGTTCGAGATTCAAACCGCAAACTTAATACGTATTCCTTTTATCTCGTTCCTGTATTCGATAATCTTTTACTAATATCGGATGACAGAGACAGGCAACCGGACAATGAACAAATCAATCAGCTTCTTTTCAAGTGGTTTTGCCGCCACAGCTATGTTTAGTGCGGAAAGAATCCTATTCAGTCTCTGGACGAAGTATGGATAAATTTTTCTCTAATAATACAATACAACCTCAGACGAGGGTCGAACATTTTTGTTAGTTAAATTTGAAAATCTTGGTTCCTTTTTTGTAATGAAGAACCAAATCACAGTAACGTCCTATTTCGCACACATTTCAACTATGCTTTAACGCCTTCAAATTGATAATAATAAGACGCCTTTGGCAAACGAACAGAGAGCTAAGATTGCGAAAGCCGACGGGAGGAAAAAAATTTCCAAAATACCTGATTTTTTTTTAAATGCGTATATGTGTTAGATATTATCAGATTTAAACATCTCATTTTGGATCCGAAAAAGTGAAACAACAGTCAGAAAACTGAAGATTTTCAAGCATTGTTTCCTCCAAAATGATGACTTTGACTAAGCACGTACATTAGCGGAATCAACCAAGAATATACAATCATCATAATGACATATTTGACAAGCCAAGTGATATTTTATTTATCTGTTCTGAGATCGGAAAAACCACAATTTGCTTTCCCTATTCCCTCTTGTACAAGTGTTAAATTTTAATTAGCCTTGTGTAAATGACAAATCACCAGCTTGTGACAGTACACATTGCATCCATAAGCCGAGTTTATTTTGCTTTATTCTTGTGAGTGAAGGTGTCTGCCAGGTTTTCGCCATCGATCTAACAAACCGCTTGGGTGAAAGCAGTGAGTATAATTTCCATTCATGCTTTTCCTCGGGAAATGCCGCTTTCTAGTATTTTTCCAAATATGTAGGTTAAATAGTGGTGCGATAAGCTATTCTGATGTTGAATTATGTTCTTTGTGTCACATATATTTCAGTTACGCTGTCACAGTAATTCTAGCAAGTTACAATGCACCTTTATCTACCCTTTTTTTCGCTACCTTTTGAAAATTATGTTTTGTCTTATTAGGCCTAAGTAAATCACTGTTTCACGCACTCGTGATTATTTTGGTTATTCTATTGGCCTATGAATTTTAAACACATTTCTTGTGAGATATCCTGTTGTCTGACGTGTGAATATTGACAAAGATGCCTCGCTATAAAGTGGCCGCTGTCGAGCGGCCTCATAATACTGTTAGCATAACAATTTACGACTTATCATTTAGGAGGAAATGGAATTATTGTTAAGAGTTTCTATTTAGATGACTTTGCGAATGAATCACATAATGATTGGAAATGTTATTACCACGAAGACTGTTAATCCTTAGTTCATCTGCATGTCCACGTTGATATCGAATTTCTTTCAAAGGTTCGTGCATTTGTTCCGTTCCAAACCGATTAAAAAAAAAAATACTCAATGCTTTTCTTTTATTAATATGACCACATCAAAGTACCAAAATTTGAAGATAAATTTTTACTTTCGCCGTGAGGTTTGATGACAGTAAGCTTAAAATGAGCCATCTTTCAATGTAAATTCAGATCGGTTATTGCGTTAGCCAGGTTTTAACAATTTTTACTTATATTACTATAATCCTACAAATGACTTACGGTCACTTATGATGGTCTTCATATTCACATATATGTATGCACAATTCTTTGTCTTTTCGTGAGCGCGCTGTGATAATTACTTTACATCAAGGAAGGCGGGTAAAGAGTTTTGTTAATGCTGCATCTACCTGTTTTGCTAACCCCACCAAAAGCCAGTTTTGTTTCGGAACAAAATAAGTGTGAATTCTTTACTGATTTGTGTGAGAATATTCTTATATAGAATAATTGATATAAGAGTCAGGACATTTATCACAAACCAGGTATGGCGTTTTCTCGCATAAATATTTCTCCCATTGGCTAATTTGGTGTGATAATTTGATATAATGATTTGACTCATAAAATAAAAATTATATAGCGTGGTACGACGGAAGGCATGCGGAAGAAAGTTCTGCAGTGTGGAGTCGTGTCTCTACTTTTTCGGTTAAATCTGCGTTTTTCAAATCCTCAGAAGAGTTAAGATCGTCTTCTATTTTCAGTTTTTGAAGGTGAGACAACGAACTAACTTTCCTTGTTGATCCACATCACACTACCCTAATTAGTCTTGAAGGTGGTCCAATTTTACTTTTGTTGAAGAAAACTATTAAGATGTCTGCTCCTGGGAAGAGAAATTAATGCTCCCAATGTTTTAGTCTGTTTGCATGCTCTAGAGTATCACACGCCGATTGCTAGGGTACTATATCTCATCACCATGATATGACTGTAACTCTAAATCAATATAGCTTTTTTTTTTTCAATTCAAAATTCTGTGGTGTTTAGTTGACTTTTACAATAGGGTAATGTGTAATTGGTTCGGATGAAGTCCCATAACTAGCAAATGTCGCTTATTGATTTCTCTTGTCCGCTGACTGAAGTTTGGTCAAACGAAAGAAGTTGTTAGATGTAAACCAAAAATATCAAATTGTAGTAAACGCTAGATTAGAATTGAATGTACCTCAAAGCACCAAAGGAAATATATAGCAAAGTGTTGAGGATAAATTCATGCAGTCAGAACGGCACTCTTTAGAACTAAATGGTGAGAATCATTACCTGCTCTACTGTTTCTGTGTTTACTGCTTCACATTCAGGATTGTTAATGACTAAAATCCAACACTAAGATTTAGCCACGCAGCTTTCTTGCTTCGTGGCTTCTTCATAGGTAGCGGTTTAAATAACTAGGGACAAAAATAAGACCACAGCAAAGAAAAAATAAACAAAGTAAAAGAAAAACAACATTTGACAGAACATAAAAAAAAAAAACTTCTAGCACGCGTGAAAGAATACAGCGGTCCTTTTTGTTTTTGGTTTGGGAATTAGTTACTACAGTCGATCCTCAACCTAAAGAATTTCTACTGTTACTTTGTTTACTTTGCTGATTTCACCTAACTTGTATTCCTGCAGCAGCATATCTCACCTTAGGTCTAATGCTCATTCACTTGTGACTATCAACGAGCTTATGTTTGTCCCCCAGCTCAGGCATGTTCCGGTACGTGTAAACTTAATTTCATGGAAAGAAAATGACCCAGGACTTGAAGAGCTCTTTCCTTACGCAGGAAATTCTTGCTCAACGCATGGCTCACTTAGTATTGCGTGTTTTCGTGTTTCTTTCTTAGACGACACATTAATATATTATTTTGGTGACCTTATTTTACATTCAGATGGGCGGTTAACACTTGTTTCGTCACACGTACCCATACAAATCTATTCAGTAGCCACGAAAAAATATACAATTATAATTATATAGACATACAGTATGGTGCTGACCGCCACTGGCGGTTAGAATCAGTATATTTGGCGCTTACAGCTTTTTTGAGGGAATCAAAGATTGTTATTGCAAATTGTACCTTTGTAGACTTTTTTAACCAACGCTGAAAACTGGTATTCAATATTGAATTTTATCATATCATTCGCACGGTCTGGGTCACGTAATTCTATGGAATACTGAAAGCTGACGCACGTTGGATCGAACGGGTTGACATGAACCGTTTCGGGAATACCCGTCCCGAACCTCGCACACACGGATCCGTGTTGGTTGTAATCTCCTAGTGCGTGGATTTGAATAGTGGACTTAAACTTGCAATAAAACAGAAATGAGAAGATAACTCACGTTTTTCGGTAAATTGTGAGTTTCTTGTTCTGACTCTAAGAAATAAAGGAAAATTTTTTATTGTAGAATCTCCTTTTCTAGGTGTCTAGTGCGCTCCTTTTTATGTAATTAGTTGCGTTTTATTTGGTTTCAAACAAAATCTCAAACAGTTTTAAGACTTAGTGGTCATACGATAAAATGCTTATTGACTGAGTTTGATTGGGCTACGCCGGAAAATATTTGGTTGAGGGTCATGACGCATAGACCGAATGCAGCAAAGTCCTTGCGTCATGACCTAACACCAAATATTTAACCGTCGGCCCTCCCACTCATTAAGTAAGTACACATTATGAGATAACAATGAGATTCGACTGTTTAAAATCTCACCTTCATGAAACCGCAAAATTTATCTTAACATGAGGAACTAATTCAGTTTGTAGTGGCATAAGAGATGATTTAAAAAGAAATTGCTTTCAAAACAATCTTCTCAAAGACAACATCAGTTTTATAAAATTCGAATAGTTTATACATATCCATGTGACGTAACTTTGAATGGGTAGTTTGTCCTTAAATGTCGATTAATGTTATAAGGGAACATAGCGGGCCAAGGTTTTGTACAAATTGTCGAAAAGTTACGGTTTCTAAAGTCAGTGTGGATGAGTCACGGTATTAAACAAACTCCTTGGTTTTCTCGAGAGTAGCTTTTAGCGTTTCTCTCACCTCTTTCACAGTGTATTAAGACCCGGGTTTGCCAGCAAATCATGTTCATGACTTTACCCATCAGATTACTGAATATTTTATTGCAAGTGGTGCGATAAGATTAAAAATCGCGTGTCAACTGTGAACTGACGTGTTGGGGAAAATCTCTTGTTTAAACCATCAAAGCCAGTTGAAAAGTCGCTAAGCTGATTACGTTAGAAAACAAAAAACCAAGTAACCGCGAGAGTCACATTCTTTGATCATTTTTATTCACGAAAAAATTGCAAAGTGATGGCGTGTTTACGAGAAAGGCCATTAATAATAAACTCGCGTAGGAGAAAATCCTCTCAGATTTTATCTGTCCTCTGTTTGCGATGAGAACCACGGAATCACGAGAGGCTTTTCCAGTTATAAACTCTTTGAGTGTCCCTGAAAATCATATCATTCACACTTTTATCTGAAGTGGCTTTAAGAACACTATTCAACAACTGCTGTTATATTTTCCAGGTTCGTGCCGTTGTGTTGTGGACGATTCCTATGAAAAGAAGACAAAATGGATGCAAACTCCAGCGACGGCAGAATTATTGTTAATATCGCAAAGAAGAAACTAGGCGGAGTGGGTTTTGTGACGAGCAAGCGAAGCGAAAGTCCTTACCTCGTTGTGTCACACGTCGTTAAGGGAGGAGTAGCTCACGAGACGGGTTTGATACAAACTGGGGACGTCATTCTTGAATTGAATGGGAAGTCTCTGGAGAGCCTGCCCTACCATAGGGCGCTAGAGATTATCGACAAAGTCCCCACCGGGGAGGTGATGGCGATCAAACTACGTGCCCAGGACGGATTTCAAGCGTATCTAGAAACGGTCTTTGACGACCAAGGTGCTGTAAAGACGGTGCGAAAAACCAGGCCACAAACGCCAAAAACTCCAAAAGCTAACAAGAACGTTAACGGAGAGTTAAATGGTGAATCACATTCCGGTCAACCGCAGACCACGCAAGTGGAGCCAGTTTCTACCATTGAAGAAGACACAGGAAAAGAGCCCCACGATGACAACGAACCTGAAGCGCCAACGTCTCAAAATATTACCAACGGACATCCAGACAACGAACGTGAAATAGTCAAAGAGTCACCAGAATCCAAAGGATGCCCAGTCACCAACATTTTATCAAAACCGCAAAATCCAAAATATGTCAGGTTACAGAATCTCCTCGATGGCAAGTACACGACAGACACACTACATCAAATGGCCATGATAGTAAGTTGCAATTTTTGTCACTTGAACGTGTCTAAATGGTAGTTGTCCTGATTGTCTTCTTAGTAAAGTGGGTTCTTATTCTTGAAACTAATCATATAGACTTTAATAGTTTCAGTTAGTAGTTTCAAAATATTTTAATGATTATCCATTTAGCCATCGCCACCCACTCCTTACCCAAACAATGACCTGCCCTTAAATTGTTGTAAATGTCTTCAACAGACTGTACATTGTTTTAATAGATAAAAGTGATGGAAAGTGCAGTATTAGCTAACGGGAGCTCCTCTTATAGGCTTGAATAAATCTTCGTCGTGAATTCCTGGAGATTCTCTTCTACGCCCACCCGGAAAACAACAAAACAGTAATGATCAACAATTTCCCAGCAAATATATTTGTGGCATTTCCAAAATCAATAGTGAAAAAAGCGAAGTTAGTAGCGTTGAGTGAATACTAACGTCATTAAATATTTTCAACAGCATTCTCAGCACGGGTTAGAATGCTTTCGAGGGCTGGATTTTTTTCAAGCTTTTATTCAGCAATTGCTTAAGTTGCAGAGCAATTGCTTAAATTGCAATGCAATTGCTTTAATTGCAGAGCAATTCAGTGCTTAAATTGAAGTCCACCTGCAAGGATCAATTTGCTTGACTTGATTTTCATTCGCAAGTTTATTTCAGTCTTAAAAAAAAACAAGGACTTTCAAGATACGTGGATGATCTGCCGCTCTCTATTTTAATAGAAAATTGTTTCCTTCAACTGTTTTGCTTGTTCTTCTTCCGTCTAATTAACCCTTTCGTTAAAAGCACGAGCGCTTCTGTACTTAAAAGTTACTTGGTGGTTGTAAACTAATGGAGCCTGACATTTGTAAAAACAGTTAGCGGACCAACCGTTATAACCAACAGCATACAAATGAATAAAGGCTGATAGTTTCGAAAGAAACTGTTTGGGGCTGCGTCGGTGGGAGTAACGAAATAATTTGGATCATATCAACAAAGTTGAAATGGTAAATTGGCCACCGTAACGATTACAAAAGCTGACGTTTCGAGCGTTAGGCCTTCGTCGGAGCGAATAGAGGAATTGTGGGTTGTGTGTGCTTTTAAAGGCAGAAAATGGAGCTACGTTATTGGTGGGAACATGGCAACGAGAAAAACATGAATAAATTAGTGGAATGAAAAGCGTTCGTTGATCCCTGTGGGATTTAGACTGCCGGTTTGAAAAATGAGCTTTTGTTCAAGATTTTTACGGCTTTCCGTGCCACCTAAGTGCAAGGAAAGACCGCAGATTGCCATATGTTGCTTAGAATGATTAGGTAAATTAAAATGTCTAGCGACTGGTTTCGATGTGTCCTTGTCATTCCAACAGCACTTTGTTTGCATTTTCAGCCCATAAACTGCACTGCAGGCCGTTGTTTGGGGTCCTTGATGCAACCTTATGGAGGAGAGGCTGCTCCAAAGAGGCTTTATGGTGTACCACGACAACCAGAAGAGGTCATAGTTCACGCTAAGGATTTTCTCCAACAGTATTACGGAGGCATGAAACTGTGAGTTTAAAAAAAATAACGTTAGTATACCATGGTATTCATGACAAAAAAAAGAAACATTTGAGATTCATGTCACCCTTATAGAGTGAAACGTCACTCCCGAAGCCCCAATTTTCAATAGCAAGGTTATTTAGAAAGGTCAGGTAACTATTTTTTGAGAAACAGCTAGTTTTCAAAAATATTTATATGTGTAAATAAAGGGAATCGAGAAAATAACTTATATAACAATGACAAAGTATTAAGGAAAGAAACAAATCTTTTGTTTACGTCATGGATCGTAAGTGTAAACCAGGATTAAAAGGAAGCAGTCTTATGGTGACAGACATAGGTCTAAGTGTAGTGAAGACTTGGTACTCACTCTTCTTGTATAAAAAGCGTTTATTAGGGCTGAAGTTTTGTTGGGTTGTATCTAACTGTAAAGAAGTGCTGAAGGATATAGAATTATCAAAAGTAAAACTGTGTGAAGGGCTACAAGCTTCGAGGCTTAATAAAAGATGTTACGGTAACTTTGCGTTAGCTTAATGATGGTCTGAACAGCTCTTCTCGAGGGGGTTTTCTGACCAAACAAGCCATCACTAAACAGTCCAACAGTCTTCGTTTATTGTAAATTAATACCCGATTTCCCAATTGAGATAAGTTTCATTCGCGGATTTATGTTTTTTTTTTTTCAGTGAGAATAGTCCGGCCCACAAGTTGCGTTTAGGGGAGGTAATGAAGGAGATTGAAAAGACGGGGACCTATGACCTCACCGAAAAGGAACTTATCTTTGGATGTAGAATGGCTTGGAGAAATGCCCCTCGATGTATAGGACGAATTCAGTGGAACAAACTTCAAGTACGTCACTGTGTTTCCCTCAGTAGCGTTAGCCCTTTAATCCCCATGAGTGATTAGAGGCACACTTATTCTTACGGTATCACCCCTAAATCAAACATTAAGGTTATGAAGATATAGGAAATGACAGCCGACTAAAGAGGTTCTTGATTGTCAAACAAATTCTACCTTTTGGTACCACAGGAAAAGTTAAGATGATAGGTTGAAGACTATTGATCAGTATCAGGGTGTAAAGGGTTTTAGAGCAAAGCAAATTAATAAGGATTACTATGACGAGCTTGAAAATGTAGGCTGAACAGTTTAGAGATTTAGATAGCGTCACCCGCCTTCCTTTGATTTTGGATTTTTGCCGCTAGTGGCCGTTTTTGATTTTGGCCACTGATGGCCGATTTTGGATTTTGGCTAGAAGTGGCCGATTATAGATTTTTGACATTAGCGGCCGATTATGGATTTTGGGCACTAGTGGCCGATTTTTGATTTAGGCCATCAGTGGCTGATTTTGGATTTTGGACGATAGTTGTTCTTTCTGGAGTTTGGGGGCTAGAAAAATAATCAGATATTCCCTTATTTTTAATGATAGTAAAAGATAAAGGAGAACAATTTTTGGTAACGTTGATTGTGCTGTCTGAGTCGACAGTTTTTAAACAAACACGAACTTAATTTTACTGGAGCTTAGACCGTCAAAGTAAATTTCAGTTCTATTCAAACTTCTTCACTGCTGAGCTATTGGAATGATTAAAGGCTGATAGTTTCGAAAGAAACTGTTTGGGGCTGCGTCGGTGGGAATAACGAAATAATTTGGATATATCAACAAAATTGAAATGGTAAATTGGCCACCGTAACGATTACAAAAGCTGACGTTTCGAGCGTTAGCCCCTCGTCGGGGCGAAGGGCTAACGCTCGAAACGTCAGCTTTTGTAATCGTTACGGTGGCCAATTTACCATTTCAACTTTGTTGATATATCCAAATTATATTGGAATGATTGCTTCGTGTTTATGTCCTTTCGTTTTTACAAGAAGTCTTTTCATTTGTTATAGGTATTTGACGCTCGACATGTGAATACACCCTCCGAAATGTTCGAGGCTATTTGTAAGCACATAAAGTACGGAACAAACAAGGGAAATATCAGGTGATTATGAAATATTTACGTTGTATTTAAGTATTTTTGTTGGTTCTATAAGTGTTTTCAATATCATAATTATCAGTAAAAAGAAAAAGAAATATTTAGGCTTTTCACTATTCAATAGCTTATTTGTCTCTGATCTATCACCAGAACGTACATAACCGCACGCATCAACTTGCCACCAGATTGTCATATTGTTTGTGATTAGAGAGAGTTATATTGCGCCTTTCATTCAGAGCAGGGGAACTGTATTGCTAACCAGTTTCGAGTCAACAAGCAGTGATCTGATGTTTTGGACAGAAAATTAATGAATTTATAGATGTTGGCCTCTATCCAACCTCCAATTCTCATGACATAATTCTAATTTCGCTGCCGCTCTTTCATACACCAAAATGCGTAGCAGTAAGTGCGCTGGAATCCAGGGCCCGGTTGTTCGAACGGTTGGATAACGCTATCCACTGGATAAATCTCTCTCCTTTGGAAAGCGTTATATGCGCTTTGAACAATTGGGCCTAGACCGAGAAATTCGGGTTTCGAGTCTTAGCTGGGTCATTGTGCCCTCTTCATTTTTGTTTTGCTTCTCTCCACCCGGGAATATAAATGAGAACATGTAAACTCTTGGGGAAAATTTGAAATAACTATTTTGAAGTGACCAGTGGGTAATCATTTTGCTAATCATTTGAATTTGTCTTGTTTTGTCGTTGCATCTCTTGATCTAAGGTCCACGATAACGGTTTTTCCTCAAAGGAAGACTTCTTTCAAAGACTTCCGCGTGTGGAATACACAGCTGATTCGTTATGCTGGATATAAAAAACCCGACGGTTCGTGCATTGGAGATCCTTCAAACATTGAGTTCACGGAGGTAAAAATGGATTTGGCTCCGACAAACTTGCATCAGTTCCAACAAATGCAAAACTAGTTTGGGTTTTGCTCTTTCGATTTCCTTTGAGTCTTCTGTGCTTGTCAGCTGTGATTTGACGGTTCTAGTTACTTGTGTTTTGTTTTTAAGACAGTATGTTTTCAACAGATTTGTCAGACCCTTGGCTGGGAAGGAAAGGGAGGTCCTTTTGATGTTTTGCCTTTGATTCTTCAAGCTAACGGTGGAGAACCCGAAATGTTCGAGATTCCGCCTGAAATCGTACTCGAAGTGGAAATAAAGCACCCAAAGTAAGTCTCAGACACAATCGATTGTAATGGCAGATATTTTTAATAATTGCTGTTTGTTAATAGCACAAGGAAGTCAGGGGGAAATTTTCTGTGTCTGAAGAATAATCTTCCAATGTCACCATAAGTAACCGCGGATCCTTACATGTCTTGCTGCCTAGCTAATCAACGATGTATTTTCCTTGACACCATTAAGTGACGCATCTGTTTTTTTTTTTTTTATGAAGACTTGTCACATAATTCTGGAGAAAATTTGTCAGTATCAACGACAAAGATACTGGCCGAGGAAATTCTGAGTGGTTGAAGAGAAATTCCTCTCTAACATGAATTACTCGGCCTGTCAGTTTTTTTTCAAAGTTTTATGGCCAGCCATTTTCACTTGTCAAGAGTAACTGCTAAGAAAACTTTTGATGTTCCAGAATTAACTCGTCTTCATTCGTAATCACCTTCAGTGGTCAATACATTTAAAACGAATTCTGTGTGAACCTTCCCCTTTTCGCGACCCTGCCTGACCCTCCCCCAGAAGTGATCAATTTGTAACTTTTCCTTACCATATGATCGTCTCTGCCAAGGTATCCGTGGTTTGAAGAGCTGGGATTGAAATGGTATGCGCTTCCCGCAGTCTCTTGTCTTTGTCTTGATGTCGGAGGAGTAGAAATACCTGCATGTCCCTTTAATGGCTGGTAAGAAACAGAATACTATATGAGTAATTCTAAACCAAACACGAAAAAAGAACCAAATAAAGTCTGGCTTAAATTTTTGATTAAAAAAAAAAAAAAATTGGTTTTCGTTTACCGGAATGTAAATAACACTGGACAGTTGTATTAAAAAGCGCTAGGTCATTTTATCGCTGTCTGTATCCATTTTCATAGGTACATGGTTACAGAAATTGGAGCACGAGATTTCGGTGATACAAACCGATACAATATGCTTAAGGTAGGTTACCCACGAAGAGAGGTAACAGAGACCATAATATAAGAATTGAAAACACTCACCAAATATATCATTTATGTAACACTTGTGATACAAATTAAATTTTCATATGAAAAGTTTTATTTCTATTCTGTTCTTAACTCACTTTAAAGAGTTTTTAGTTTTGCTTTTTGTCTTCTCCCGCTCTCTTCCAAAGCCCGTAGCGCTGCGTATGGGTCTGGACACTAAGAGTAATGCTTCTCTCTGGAAGGATCTCGCTTTGGTGGAACTTAATCTGGCAGTGATGCACAGCTTCCAGGTTTGTCTGGACGATAACTCTTTCCACTTTAGCCAGTTACCACTCAAGTGGCTATGAGTGTTTTACTATTAGAAAATCGTACGAGTTTGAATACGTTTTGATTTAAGGAATGTTCATGTCTCCATTATTTCAGAGGGTCTAAAATTACACAGCGTAACAAATGCATGAGCTGTTTGTTGTATAAATGTTCTCGTCAGATTAAGTTAAACGAGTAACTTTTCCACAATTTCGTTATTTCTCTTCAAGGAAGCTGGAGTTACAATGACTGATCACCACAGCGCTTCCGAATCTTTCTTAAAGCACCTTGAGAATGAGGTTCGTGGTCAGTTTGTTTGTTTGTAAACTGAAAGCTTAATTAATATTTATACCACTGAGGGTTCCCCTTGGTTAGGAACATTTGGGGGGCAAAGAAAATGGTTTAAGACATCGAGGGCCAGAGTTATCCTAGGTAAGTTCACACTTCAGAGATTTCAAACTAGGGGGATCTTGCACCGACCCAATATTAGTTGGAAGAATACCAAATCTATTTTAGTTGTCATCAATCATAAATTCTCCTTGACAGAGAGGGGTAACATTCATCTTGAGATAATCTAACCTTCCTTTTAGCTACGGGGCTCTGTCGCAAGTTGAAAGAAAGAATAAATTGTGACAAACCAATATCGATGTCTCTGAATTACCTTCAAGATCACACTATTCGCCAAAAATAGTATCTTGACTTTGAAGGTGGCATTGACCATCTTACTTAAACTGACACAGGTAAAACTTCGTGGAGGCTGCCCGGGAGACTGGGTGTGGATTGTACCTCCCATCTCAGGCAGTGCTACGCAGGTGTTTCATCAGGTTAGTTCATTCTAAAGTAACCATTTGACCAGTCGAGAGAGCTTAAAAATGATATCTCTAGTTTAGGATGCAAAGGGATCCAGATTGCGTGCCAAAACGTGCATGAGTGGGGTCCTGTATCCTCGGGGGCTTTGAATATTGCACCCCAAATTTCAGTTCATTTTATTTCCATCTCTGCTGTCCACGGTACCCCCTTGGTACTCCTGACGATAATTGACGTTCCTTTCGTCTACAGGAAATGTTAAATTACACTTTGAAACCAAGCTACGAATACCAGGTTAGTCATATTAACTTAAAATCGAAATCTCTTACGCGCACTTAGATATCATGTGTATTAAATGTAAATTTGGAATGAACGGATCGACCAATATGGCGTCCCATTAGTCAGATGTTTTAAAAGTTTTAGTGTATTTCTCAGACTTTTCTCAATTATTAAATGTTCCCCGCCTCATGATGATTTCAAAGAAACTATTATGTTATGAAAAATGATGCTCAACTCTCTCAACTGGCACATCTCTGTGAAGCTCATGATACTCTTTTCCAAGAATGAGATTTCCTAACCTAGGTTTTTCTTTTGTTTGCTTACGCCTCAAGATTGATGATAATTATTGTTGTGTATTCCAGGACGATCCTTGGAAACACTATTCAATAAAGAAAGACACGTCTAGCGATTCTCCAAGGAAGAAAGCTTCCTTTAAGGAAGTAGCAAAGTAAGTTGAACGTACATGATTCATCGGCGCAAACGAGTAGAACGTACACAGTTCTTGCCATGAACCTGATGACAAGAACTATGTTAAAGAGTCCTTTCTTGCGGTAGTTCACTACTGCTCTCAGTTAATGTTCGTGAAAAAGTCCTCACAACGTTTCTTTTGATGAATATGTAATGTGAAACACTATGTGAGGGTAAAGTCACATAGCATGTCACAGCAGGCAAACAGGTCTGATCAAAGTGTAGAGTCCTTTGTAAAAGGAGAGAAAGAGGAAGAGGAATCAGGTAAAGCTTTTACTTACGCCTCTGTTCCACCTGGAATTATCTAAGTGAAGACCACGGTTCTCCAGAATATGGTAGTTTCTGTTGTTAGAATCAGATATTTCTTATTGTTTTCTCACTAATGAGATGAACTAACTCATAGCTGTAACTACATTTTTGCAAGAGATCTATAATTATACAGCTTCATCTTTCAACTTCGAGAACCGTTGATGTTGTTCACAATTGATCAGCATTCTACATTGACTTGGGCTGGTTAAGGTCTATTCCAGCCAATGCTTTCATTTCAGTGTCATCCTTCGATGAACAGGAGGGTTACATTTTTAGCACTGAAATCTATGCTTACCTCCTTTTTAGGGCAGTTAAATTTTCTGCTAAACTATTTAGCAAAGCTTTGGCTAAAAGACAGAAGGCCGTCATCCTTTATGCAACAGAAACAGGAAAATCAGAGCGTTACGCCAAGATGCTCGGAGAACTCTTCTCTCATGCGTTTGATCCGAAGGTTAGGAAAGTTTGATTTTGAGATAATGTATGCCGACGAGGAATGTGAGACTTAAGTCGCTCACAGAATGCTTAACTTAGTTACTTGAAAAGTTAGAGGTTTCATCGTATTTCAATCATGCTTGTCGAGTTTGTAAATTGTCATAGTGAACGAGCGCTTTTAGAGAAATAATTATTATTATTATTAAAAACTGGATCATTGGATAATGCAATTCAAGGCTTGTTATTGGTTTGGCCATTATGGTATATGAGCCAATATACCATAATATAATATCAGTACTTTGTAACATCCGGTTTCTTCTTACAAAATAAAGTTTAGAAGATTTGTCTAATATCTTGGGGGCGTTTTTTTTTTTTAATTAAACATCTATTCCATCGCGCTTGTTGGATATGAGATGATTATAACCAACTCGGCGCTACGCGCCTCGTTGGCTATCTATCATCTCATATCCAACGCGCTCTCGTGGAATAATTGTTAAATACCGTTTTACTATATGTATTTCACAGGTTGTTTGTATGCAGGACTACGCCCATCCTGAGATGGAGAATGAACAGCTTGTCCTAATTGTAACTAGCACGTTTGGAAACGGAGACCCTCCTGAGAACGGAGATGTAAGCCAAAGTTGAAGTGCCATTCTCTCACACTTTACAAACATTGTGGACTTATTAGCATTGACACATAGAATATTCTCTATAAGTACTCCCCCCCTTATCGCTATCTTGAACTAGATGAGATGTAAGTGAGGCCTATTCATTCTACCTTACCACTTATAGGGATATCATGACCCTCACAACAAACTTTTCAAATTAGGGGGCATGCAAACCTTTGTAACCTCTACATCACCCAGTAGCCAGTACCCAATGATCCGGATTTTTGCTGAAATGTGCATCTATGTTTTCTCCCCAGGAATTCGCTCGTTACTTGTACGAACTCCGCCATCCACCAGATGGGTAAGTTAAATCTTATTACGTTCAACTATTTTTCCTTGATTACCTTCAAAAGGCAAACATCCTGATGCACGCTAAGCAGAGAACAGACGGTGGCACAGCCCTAGAAGCTAGTTCAATGTTTACTTTTTCTTTAATCAACAATTATGTTTCGTCCTAAACAAACTTTCAAAAGCCTCTCCTTACAGTTCTTATTGTTATTATTATCATTATTGTTATTTGTAGTATTATCATTATTATTACTGTTATTTCGCTCAAAAACTAATAGTTAGATAAATGATGCAGATTATTTTTAATTTTATTTCCTCGATGGTACATGTCTTTTAGAAGTCGATCGTCGCGCAACATGATGAAACAACTCGGCAGCCTGTTGATTCAAAAAGAGAAGGAAAAAAGAATTGATTTAATGAACAACAGTCAACCACTTGCTAACCTCAGGTAATCATACATAAAAAGAGACACAATCAGAAATTCCTATACTAGTAATTGTTTTAAATCATATATTAGACGAACCACGTTTAGTGGATCTAGCTCCTAACTAAAGAGCCAGTGTAATCGAAATGTTTAGAATTCGAACCAGCTTTGAACAAAATCAAATACAGACAACATTAAGCGACAGGGGTGCAAATGAAATAGAAGTGTATGGAGGTCCAAGATTGGAGTTTTTCTCCTTCACGAACAAAGACCCCATAGTTCGATTTGCACGATTGGTTGCTTTTTGTTCGATCTGGCTCATTGAAATCATCTTTTACGACATGTTTGTTTTATCGAATGTTATTTTATGTGACGGAAGAGAAAAGTGGCTTCTTTATAATGCGCAGACTATGATGACATACCTATTTTTTAACCTTAAAGGTACTCTGTGTTTGGCCTGGGCTCCAGGGCTTACCCAAACTTCTGTGCATTTGCGCGTTCGCTTGATAAGATCATCCGGGAACTTGGAGGAGAGCCCGTGTTGAAGATGGGAGAAGGGGACGAGTTGTGTGGTCAAGAGGAGTCGTTCAAATTGTGGGCCAAAGACGTATTTAAGGTAAACAATAACGCTTACTGAACAGTAGCATTACTGGCTCGCACGCACGTTAAGTGTTAACTTACTGGTAGACTCACCCTGACAGCTGCTTTATTCTTCTCAGAACGAGCTAAAAACTATTAAGAAACGAATTTAGATAAGGTTACTAAAGAACTTAATCACGGACATTTTTTAGACGTGAACGGCAGCTGGGCGTTGAGTGTCCTTGGGTTTTCCTATTGACTGTCGATGGTTAAAATGCTCCAAAAGCAGTTGTCTTCAACTGCCGGTCAATTCATCTTCTCTAATGGTCCTTAGATGTTAAATTCCTCACTATTACTCAGTGCATCAATCTTTGAATCCTCAGGCCGCTTGGGACTCATTCTGTATCAGTGACGAAATAACAAACGAAGCCAGTCAATCTCTGGACACAGTGCCAAGTGGCTGGGTACCAGGCCGCTTTCGGCTTGCGAATGTTATGATCTCCGCCGTGAATGCTTTCACTGAAGCGGTTGATGGACCGGACGGACACAATGAAATTATCCGAGGTAAGAAATGTGTTCAGCGGCCATTTTATTTTCATAAATTATTAGCTTAGCTTCTCATTATAAAGACGAAGTATACTTCAAACACAATGTAATATTTTCATCGCTATTAATTTCAGGTGTGTTGGACAATTGTGACACTAAATACGTTTCCAGAAATAAGGAAAATTATGAGGGGTTTGAAAAATATACTTCTTCTTTAATTAACCCTTGAACTCTCAAGATCTGAGGGAAATTCTCCTCTCTAGCTGCTACGCATTTTCATTTTAAATCAGTTACGAGAATTTGGTGTTAGATCGAGATAACATCTCCTGCCGGATAAGTTTGAGCATTTTCACTACCTGTTTGCTGGATAACTTACGGATATTATGGGCAAAAGTTACGTGTGAATCACTTCTGGGAGTGTAAGGGTTAACAGATTTTTGAAATAGCCACAGATGATTATTCAGCGATATTTATAGTTGCAATTTGACTCAAATACTTGCCAAGGACAAGAGACTGCAATCGCGCACAAAGTAGACCAAATTCCAAGTTTATGATATATGATATTTAAATAATCTGTCACTTTTCTTGCCATCCAATATTTGTTTGATCTCTGCTTGTCTGTGTAGGTTTGACTCATATTTGTGGAAAAGCAGTGCGATCTGCGACGTTATTATCAGTTAAGAATTTACAGTGTCCTGAATCCAGGTCAGTGAATGAGTAAAGAAGTTTTTTTCTACCTTTTTGATTCGCAAGAATCTCCTTTTTGCGTCCTGAAAAGTCAAACAAAATAAGTATTAAAACCCTATATATATATATATACGCCTATAGCCCGAGCAAGGGTATGTCCACAGCTTTAACTGTGGGGCTGCACCTATGATGACGACACTGCCTGGCGCATGGGAAGCGTCCCTTGGCAAGGTACTCTGTTGATCGATGACACAGCAAAGCTGAGATGATCGCAGAGAAGATCGTTGCATAACACCCACCCATCCCACCCCAGGGGAGGACATCCACCACACATTAATCTTGTACGTGGGAAATTAACGTCTCCTACCCCTAACCCTGCAGGAGACGGGGCCTACGGTGTACTCGTCCTTATCCTAGAAGACTAAAATATCTATCCATTTCTTGGTATTATAGAAAGGTAGCGAATTCTCCTCAGTTATTTTAAGGCGATGAGTATTGGTCCGACCGGGGCTCGAACCCTCGACCTCGCGCACAACACAATCCCCGTATTACAAACGCTTTGAGGGGGTAGTTGTTGTGCCAAAGGGTGGTGATAAGGCTTGAAATGGAGATCGTCACTAATGTATGTGCTTCATTCAGTTACACTGAGTTAGCAGAAAAAATGTCATGGCGAATATCCTCATACTCACCGCAAGTTCGTCGTTTTCCGTCGTCTGATTGTTAAGTGGAATCATCGTGATTCCACGATTATGTGTGATTCCACGATTATGTATGATTCCACGATGATGTGTGATTCCACGATGACGTATTAGGAGTTGAGTGGTGTATAAACCCTAACAATTTTAAGTCATATGTGTGAAACAATGAAGAGATTCTACTGAAGTTAGGTATGGTCTGTTCGAAGCTCCTGATGGCAGTAAACTGACTCGAAAATTATAGGGGAAAGCAAAAAAACATAAGCAAGAAGAGAACACAAAATGAAACACAAATAAGTTACATGCGTTATATTCGGAATGAAATGAAGATATAATGTAATTGTTTGCGTGACAGAACTGAATAATTTATTTATTTACGTCAGAAGACCTATTTCGTTATGAAATGTGTCAGAAAACAGATACTAATTACCCATGACGTAACCGTCAAATCTCATTGCCACTATAGTAAAAAATATTTTGATTGTTTCCTTGCCGACAAGGTTATAGATATTGGGTTGCTGTCTGACCGTACGTCATGGAGTGGGTAATTGATGTCGGTACGAGATTCAAAAGGCCAGGGTGGCAAAAGAATCTGCCTATAATAAAGGAAGATCTAGTCTGAATGTACAACCAAATAATTTAATAGCGTTACATTGTAAACTAAAAAGGTTTTGGCAAGAATTGTGGGTCGTTTCTGTGTAAAACGATGAAAATTGGTAATAGGTAAAGATCTCGTGAGGCTTCGCATTTACGTCACCATCGTTCACTAGGTCTTCGCCAAACAGACTAATTTCACCTAAGGGAGGTCTGGTGCGATTATATGACCAAAAAATTTGGCCGAGAAATTAAGCAGTGTAGCCTAAAAATTCGTGGTAACAAATGTAGAAAGTTACTGTGTCAAACCTTTTTCAATTTGATCCACAAAGAAATAATTTGATAGGCTTCACATTTACGTTGTTCCTGTTGACTCTCGGAATACCAAACACCTTTGATGTCATCCAATTAAAATATTAAAATGCATCCAAATTAACAATTCTCAATTTTTCCAACTCATAAGAGTTTTCTAGTTGCTCCCTGAAATTTCAAAGAATATGAGCCGAAAAACCCGCACTCAAACGATGATGGAGTTATGTGAGGCTTTCCAAAAAAGAGATCGATGCCTTTCTTCAGAAGGTACTGGTGTTAGGTCATCGAAACTGCCCAAAGGGGTTGTCACTCAGACTTCGTTGCACAAAATTGAAGACTGAAACATCGAAGTTTCCCTGTTACACTTCGTTCCCCAAGATTCAAGAAACACCAATAGTTTCTTGTGCTACGCTGTCAACGAAGTGTGGAGAACCACCGCTGGTTGCTAACTCCTCTTCTCAGAATATAGAAGGGGAGCAGAAGGAGGCCTGTTGACTTGCATTCAAAACTCTCAAGATAAATACACTTCGTTTGCCTGCAATCGATGAACGGCGAGTGAGAGAGCTCAGTGGTAGTTTGGTTCAAGATCAGTGTCCTGTCAGAGATAAACAGGTTGAAGTCCCCCGCCGAAAAACAACACAGCGTCAAATCTCTCGAATCAAACATCCACAAGATCAACAAAAAAAGAGTCGAGAAGAGGTAGTGGTAGCTAAGCCGGTGTCAGTACGTGGGAATGTTACTGTCGAAGGTCCGAGGAGAAGAAGGTCTCCAGCAGTCCAGAATGAAAGAAAGATCTCCAAGCCTACCTTAGTATGTCAAACGCGAGTAGCAGTTAAAGTGTCCAAGCGTGAAGGGGGACAAGGTGGTCGTGGTACGATCAACAAAAAGTTCACACCTGGAGAACACGAACTTTGGATGCCACGAGCCTGGGTGAGTATCTATACAACCTGGATCAATAAAGAAAAAACAGAGCGTTGAGGGACAGCAGATCACGAAACAGCAGCAGAATTTGACCGAAAACCAAATGCGACCCGAAAGTAGAAGAGCTGCGCCTTTGGTTCAAGTTTTGTGCATGCGCAGAGTTGGTCGTCAGGTTGTGACTGGTAATATGAAGATCACTGATAGAAGGAATGGACTCTGCGCCCAGACAAACCCTAGTCAAGAACACTTGACGTTTCTACGTGTTTTACGGAAACGATTCTAAATTAGCACTGGGGTTTTCCGTTATCAACTGCAAAATTTTCTTTTTTTTATGCTCAAAAATACCGTTGTATATATATTGTAATTTTCGATCGATTGACCATCGTAATCCGGAACAAGGTTGATTTTGGTTTACTCTGTCTTAAGCAATCACACTCGGTCAATTTTCCTACCCTTCAGCCTTTTGATAGGTTAAAACTGGTGTTTACCTTCTTTCTGATCAACTGTTGTGGCTATTTGGTTTTTTTATTTTCGACCTTCGATTGATAGCCGCTTTAAAGAGCTAGTCGTTGTCCTAAAAGGGTCGTGAACAGGCTTAAAATGGAGTTCGCCATTGGGATATATGCTTTGCTCAGCCATTCTTCTAGGAAGATTTCGTCTCGAATATTTTCATATATAGTCAGCGCAAGTTGTTCGATTTATGTAGTTTAAATATTTAGTGTGAGTACTCCTCAGTGATGTATCATAAGATTTGACTGGTGTATAAACCGTTAGAGCTTTGAATCGTATTTATGCAAGAATAAAAATGATTCTACCAGGGTTCGAAGCTCTCAACAAGTGTCTCCCAATAATTAAGAGCGGGCTGACAAAAAAAATTTAAATCTTGTGGGTCATGACCTCCCTCAAAAGCATGACTGTCTGAAAGCAACAAGCTAACCAGTCATGGAATTTGGAAAAATGCTGTAAAGTTCAAGATCATAAATTCCTTAAAACCTACTAAAAGCAATCAGTGTTGTTCCCTTCCAAATTAAAATATTATAACGATGCCCAAAGATTGCTGTTGTCAGTTCTCTTCGGGAGCAACCACACAGGGAGACGAAATATCTTGAATAATGGCTGACAATCAGACAAATTATGACTCTATACCTTTTTACTTCTTTTAGTCGCTCGACCATCTCAGTCCAGCTCAAAACAGAGAACAGCACAGAATTGCAGTACAAACCAGGGGATCACGTGGCCATCTTTCCCGCTAATCGCCCAGAGCTGGTACAAGCTTTGATTGACGGGCTATCAGATGACGTCGATCCTGATAAGCCAATCGCTGTTGAGGCCTTACGAGAAGTCAAAGGTGAATGCAAGTTCAGTTAAAAGTAGTAAGATATTTTCAGTGACCAGTCAGTACGTCTTCTGGATGAGATACTAGCCAACCCAAAACCTTCCACAAGAATTTCGTCCAGTTTCCACGACAGTTCGCCGGCCCCCGTCCTTACTCCTGGTTAGAAAGAGGCATTGAGAGGATGTAGTATCTTGCTTAGAACACACTACAAATTACATAGTGCAAACGAGTAAGGTTACAAAAGGTAACAATTTCATTACGATTATTACCTTAGGTATTCTAAAAACAGCCAAGAAATGGGAAGTTTTCACCCGTCTTCCTTCACAAATTACACTGCGTCAAGCTCTCTCGCGTTACCTAGACGTTACGAGTGTTCCTTCACCACAGATCCTGAAAGCTTTGTCTGCTACGGTAAACTCTCAACTTATTATAGTGATCCAGAATTCCTCCACAGTTCATTCGTAGAATAACTGACTCCTCTTGCTACAGCTATTACCTGTGCTTTTTGCTGTAGTTCCTTCTTACCTCACTGACACTCAACTTCAAGTTGAAACAGCTGAATGAATCCTTCTACAGCGGCGGTGTGTTCCTTGTCGTTTGCGTTCAAGGGCAAGGCTATCTAATGCATTTGCAGTACATTGAGCCCCGAATATCTCGAACTTTCCTGTAACTCGGCGGCGTACCCAGGTTGGGATGAGTGTCATTGTGTCACTGTTAATTTCGTTGGGTTGTCTGTGGGATCCCAGTGTCTCAAACCAGTCTTGTTTGTACCTCGTTCATTGATAATATCTCATTTCCACTTCTTTGTTTGCCTGTACTTCTGACCTACACTGAACTGAGACATTTCCATTTTAAAATTATTTTAAAATGTCTACACTTGTTTAGGCTACTGACCCAGCAGAAAAGGAAAAACTTGAAATTCTTAGCCAGGTGAGGTGTTGGTAATTTTTTTATTTTTAAGTTAAATCATACAATAAAAAAAACTCCGTCTTTCGCTCGTTTACATTTGTATATGTCCTTCTAAGTTCTCAACTTAAGTCTTCCTCTACAACACTTTGGTATTTTTTTCATTTCTTTTTCTCTCAGGGTAATAACCGATACGAGGACTGGAAGTTTGAAAGTGAATGTAACATTCTTGACGTGCTACAAGAGTATCCCTCCTTACAAGTTCCAGCTGACTTATTACTCACTCAGTTGCCTTTGTTGCAGCCGGTAAGTCACACTGCTTGCTAGGTCAGCAAGCAGTTATACTGAATCATTCAACTTTTTACGGTGCAACCGCCCCTCTCCCCTCCCCCCCCCAAAAAAATTGTTGGGATCATAGGAATTGTGTAGAGGGAGTGAAGTCCGAGTTTTAAAACCCGTCTCAATGGGACTGAGATAAGACGTAAAGTTTGTTTTTACTCCACGTGAAACTCCGTTACGCGTTACGAGCCCACTCAAAGAGCAAAGATCTCCAAAACAATTCTTGTAAGTCCAGCGTGTCTACCTCACTCAAAGCTATGACAAACGCTACTTGGAGACTTTTTTAATCTCCTCTCACAAATTACTACGATCTTTGTCAGAATAATTTCTTTGTTATCAACAGCGTTTCTACTCCATCTCATCATCGCCAGACTTTTTCCCAGGTGAAGTTCACCTGACGGTGGCAGTGGTACAGTATAAGAAGAGAGGTAAGATATTTGAGTTTGAAGTATCGAGAAATCACAGTTTTAATGCACTTGATTCATTGTCAATGAAGGTGATAGATTGATAGATGTGAAACATTGTCCAAGTATTACAACACAATACGAGAGAGCGTGTTTAATTGGAGATTCTTCTCTGGACAATAGAGGCCAAGTTGTGCTTTTCACGAGCGCTTCGGAAGTGATTACGAAGTTCTTTTCGTCTCCGTGCGGCCGAAGAGACATAATCTCGCGTCAAGAGTTTAATTTCCCAGCATTTTCCGGCACATTGGCAAAAATAAAGTAGTTTTTGGTTCGTTCTGTCCAGTATATACTAAATAAATATTCCCCTCAGTTGGTGTCATCTCGATATCACACCAAGCACACCAACTATTTGACAGTAAAATGTATAGTTGGTTAAAGGGAGGATTACAATATGATTCATATATTATGAGTTTAAGGGTTTACTATTGTATTCTTCTGGTGCTGTTTGCAACCTGATATATTTTGCGAATTTCTCTCATGGAATGTCTTGGTAACTCTGCTGCGTTACGTCTTAGATGGAAAAGGTCCCATACATCATGGCGTTTGCTCCACATGGTTAAACAGTTTGCAACCTGGAGACAAAGTGGCTTGCTACGTGCGGCAGTAAGTCATGTCTCAACTTATTTTGCGTTGTGAAACTCAGTGAATTTAAAAACGTTGCTATGTACTGATTATGCGTGAAGAAGAATGGCTTTACAGCTCAGAACTTCGCCTCAGGACAGTACACACCTTTACAAATGAAGCAGCAAGAGACCACGTCCGATGTGGATCAGATATGTGTTAGACATTTGAATGTGTGCAAATCTGAGCACTTTTTTAAAATGTTTGAAAAAGAAATTTTTTATCTTTGATTAGCAAACATAATGAGGAGCGAAGTCCCCTTTCACCAGGTTACTTATTTCCTTTGTCGTAGAGCCCAAACCTTTCATTTGCCCGAGGATGGATCGGTCCCAGTAATAATGGTTGGGCCTGGGACTGGTATAGCTCCATTCAGAAGCTTTTGGCAACAGCGCCAGTTTGACGTCGTGAACACAAGTGCTCCCAAGCCAAGGACGATGGACGTCACTCCGGACTCAAGCCCTCTGATACAGCGTCGAAACTTTAACTCCCCGGAAACGACTCCTCATACACGACATCGTTCCGTCGGCGGAAGCCCCTCTTTACAGCGCCAACTCTTTTCAGAAAAAGAACAAAACGAGAACGCTTCAAACCCTTCGTCAGGAAAGTGGGGTGAAATGTTGCTGTTTTTCGGATGTAGAAACGCTACTCAGGATTATATCTACAAGGATGAAATGGCGGAAGCGAAAAACGATGGCGCGTTGACTGAAGTATGGACAGCTCTCTCACGTGAACCAGGACAGCCAAAGGTAAGCAAATATTTTTTAGAGGCAAATTATCCTTTAGCTCCTCAACAAATGCGAACACAACAAAGTAAGTTCAAGTTAGCCTTGCTGCATTTCCATTTTTAATAGTGAGGAAAATGAAAGAATGTCAAAACAGCTGCTGTTTCTTTCTTCTAAGTGGTACATACACTTGGCATTTTACCGTTGACAATAAAGTAACTTCGAAGTAGACCAGTGGCTGTTTTCTCTAATATGTATATCTTTAAAACGTTTACGTCACCTCTTCAAATTTGCAGGCTACTTTTTTATCCAAACGATAGATAGATAGAGAGATAGATAGATAGATAGACGTTTATTAAGAATACCTTAATAGCAGCTGGAAGCTGAGTTGCAAAGCTGTACAAATTATGTAATAGAACTATACAATAAAATCAAACCTAAAAGGGAACTAATTTATATATACAATTATCATAAATGTCAGTTAAAATGTCTTGCGCTTACTGGAATGAAAGTATCTCTGAACCGATTTGTTTTAAAGGAAACTCTAAATGGTCTGCGTCGTCGTAACTACATAAGTTGATCTCGGTTATCGAAAGGCAGTAAGTGGTACAAACAAGCCAAGGGATTGGAGACGATCTTGTTAGAGAATTTTAAGCAAAGGTCTTCTCTCCGATCCCTAAGGGTTATGAACAATTTTATCTTACATAGCCAATCTCATTTCGTACATATTTCAGAAATATGTTCAGGATATGTTGAAAATGGAGGCGTTTGACATTTGTGACAAGCTGCTGAGTCAGCGAGGACATTTCTACGTGTGCGGCGATGTTTCAATGGCTGAGGATGTTTGTAGAACACTGCAGGTAATCCCGTCACTATAGTAAAGTTTACTTGCACTGCGCGCGTAATCGAAGTGCTCGTAAATAGGACTGTGCCTGCCAGTTCTGAACACAAATTTTCCTGAGTGAAAATTTCAGCAAAGGCGTGGGTTGCGAATGAAGAGGTTGCTTTTCTTATCCTACACTATTAATATAGAGAATATCAAATTACCATGGCGACGGTCAGATTCTATAGTGTAGGTACTGTGAAGCGAGTGCGCGCCTATTCTATCTCTTGTTGCAATCCACCTGGTGGTATTCGCTTCTAATCAAACGTTCCTCTGTCAAAGGAAAACTCAGTAACTTTGAAAGTTTATTGGACACAAATAACGCATCTGCGAGGTTATCGGGGGAGGATTTAAGCTTCTAAGAACGGGTAAATATTATGCGATCTGATCATCAGATAATTTCGCTTTGTTTATTGTTTTTAACCTCCTCAGACCCTCTTACAAGAATACGCCGCCATGTCTCAGCAGGAAGCTCAGGACACAGTAAACAAAATGAAGGTAAGGTGTGCATGTTGTATTCTTTGGGAGCACGATGTGCCATGCGGACAACTTACAATTGAGGGGAGTGCACACCTGAAAAATATGTTACGCTCCTTTGGGTTTGGTTTACTCTAATCGCATGAAGGTATTGGAATTCCTTGTGTTCCCCAGTTTTGAGCCCCCTCTCAAAAATTAGAAAAAATGCGAAGTTACTGTTCCAGCAAAGCGGGACTTTTTGTAAAAAGTTATTGTGATAATATGTCAAGTGCATTCTCATCCTCCGCCGGTGGCTAACGCAAAAGAAAATCTTGTAGACCTGTTAAATTTTATGTATCGGTGTGCATGCTGCAAAATAGAAAAAAATAACAGAAACGAAAACTTTTGCCGTTACTTTAAGGAATTCAGTCGCTTACATAATTTAGTAAGATCAATATTCTATCTGTCAGCCGATGTTTTTGGTCTTGTCGCGCAAAAGCCCGCTCCCTCAGAGAACGGCAGCAAGAGAATCAAACAATCAAACATAGAAGATTCTTGTTTATCTTTTTCAGAGTTCCGGCCGATATCATGAGGATATTTTTGGAGTAACTTTGAAAACACGAGAAGTGACTGACCGCGTCCGAACCGCAGCTAAAAGGTTGGTTAGTAGAATGATAGCTAAGGAAGTAAACTGGTTAAAAAACTCAACGGATTTAATTTGACATTGGTTCTCGTCAGTTTTTTTGGAGTTTGCTGTAAAGAGTTTACAAAAGTTTTACAACCAACTGACCAATACAGACTTTCCATGAATACAAAAGACTGCAGCGCCGTTGTTCCCATCTTTAAATTTAAAAGCCATCCTCCTTAAACCAACATTCCCTTCCTGTTCGACGATTAAACAAACAAACGCCTGTTTAGACAATTCTCGTCTTTTTTTCACTGACAAGGCTACTTAAGATTCACGGTTGTTCTGTACTCTTTCGACAGATCTTGGATGTATCTAAGGACTTCTAGTAAAATGAGGGTGAGTAATAAGTTGTGCTTTAAATACCCATTAGAGTGACTAGCATCTAATTTCTCCTTACAATATCACCGCTGAATCAATCATTAGAGTCACGAGAATAAAGAAAATGGTCACCAACTAAAGAAGCTCTTGATTGTTAAACAAATTCTAAGGCTTTAAAGCGCTTTGAGGAGTAGGTTATGTATGAATTTTGAAATGTCTTTTAACTTTAGATAAGTCAGCACAATTTGAAGCCGCGCGCGCCTACTATTACCTTGCCCGTGGACAGAGATGAAGCAGAAGGCACAGCAGTGTGAGTACGTCAGTCGGTAAAACTGCAAATCATACACGTACGTACACTCATTCTTCCTCGTACATTATAGACTTTGTTGTCTGTTTGTTGTAACCGCACGAACGTGAGGATTTCTCCAGAAGAGGGGTAACAATTGCGCGCTCTGCTCCATGTTCTTCCGTGCATGCATGATACAATAATATGCCTGTAGATATTTACCACGCACTCTTATGTCTTTCTCACATGCAACGGTTATAACTGGCTCAAAACAAGAAGACAACTTTAAATCCTCGTCATACGTAGTTGTGAACTAAACCGTCAAGTACTAATCGAAAACCGGTACTTCAATTCAATTTAGTTACTAGCTGTGGCTGGCACCCACTAAAACGTTCTTGGCACTATATTACAGATCTCGCTCGGTATCTTTGGGATTTGTTTGAAAAATAGAATCGTGTACCTCCGTTCTACACCATATACATTTTTTTTTTCAGTCAAGACTCCACAAGAGGAAGAACTTATTCAACTCCAATGCAATAGAATGAGAGTTAAGACGAGAAGACCTCAGACAACGGCATGGAAGCATGCGTATCACACTGACACAAAAGAACCTGCGCTTAAACGCTACAATCAAAATACATTTATGATTTTATTAAAATGTAGTGAAATAGTCTTAAATAATGATGATATAAATTTATTACAGAATGGTAGTTGAAATTAAGGTTACGCTGATAAAGCAATATTATATTTATCAGGAAACTTATAAGAAAAATATAGAAATATGTAGTATTGGCTTCCATAATGCTCGGGCTTTCTCGTTTCCATTAGGGACCCTAAGTAGCTAGAATTATAGAATCTGTTTGCAATTATCAGCGAAAGAATTATTCTCCAGCAATACAGGGATCTCTTCGTTCTTTCTTTGTAACACCTTGGTTACACCTATTAGGTAATTTTCTCGCAGAAACGGGACAGATTAAATTCCCTTTGCACAAGAGCACCCCTTTTACTCAACGTCTTATTAGTCATAGCAATGAAAGCGAAATGCATCCGTAGTTTTCCAGATTGCCCATTGTGTTTCTTTCTTTCTTCGTTGCGTGGGCTTACAATCCTTTTCAGAACACCATTCAATTATGAATACGAGGTTAAAAAGTGCCCTAGCACAATAATAATTTAAATCAACTTTAACCTAACACAGATTCAGACATGAGATACTTATTGGGAGAAATGTATATTAGATCATGCAATTATGTTATGCAATACCGCTTTGCTTTTTTGATTCAATCAGACTACGAGCCGGCATTCCCTTTTTTTCCCAATGCGATCCTACGCGCGAGTCGGTAGAAATCGATGAGATAACATCCCTGTGCGCCGAAATATCGTGGAAGTAGCGTGCGGGAAAGAGCGCGCCTTGCTTCTCTAAGTTCACGCGATGCCAGAATGTTTGGATTACGCAACGGATTACTGAGGGAGAGAAGGACTGATCGTAGTCTCTGGCTAAATGGAAAACATAATCCATGTATACTCAGTTTCCTGATTGTTTATTATACACTTTGATGTGGATGCTTTTAATTGATTAGCGAGATTGTAACATGACAACATGGTAAGGATTAAAATATGAAATCTACAGCGTTGTTTGGAGATCAAACAATTTAAAGTCGTCCACCCCCCTCCCCCCACTCCATAACCTGCTTTTCCTACGTCATTACTGTCTCACCTTCTCTTCTTTTAAAACTGATCAATACTAAGTCCCACTCCCTCTTCTTCTTCTCAAAACCATAAGTTATTGCAGTGAATGACATTTAGGGTGTTTCCTATTGCTAGAGTAGGAGTTAATCTTTAGAGCAAGCCCCCATGCCCTTTCATCTCACAACCACTATGGACAGTCGGAGACAATGGAAATCCTGGCGAATTTGAAAGTTTATAGGAATGCCATGAGGTCGTAGAGAAACAGAGCGGAAAGTTGAAAATAAGCAAGCGATCGCAACTGATTACTAATCAATTCTCATCAATGTATAGCATAAATATTCCCGAACTGAGTTCATCTTGCCACTACCCTTCGACCCATTCCCAAGCATTGGTCCACGCCATCAGTCGCAAAGAGGTTGTATTCCCTACGGCAGGACGCTGATTTTTTCCACAACCCACACCTGTGACACATGCTTAACATCTCTCTTTGTTACACGATATACCTCCTCAAACCCTTACAAGCTCGAACTCGCCGGTCCTAAACCATACTTAAAGGCGTTATTTACCATTTTCCTACTTCTACGCACAGAACACTTTGACATAACTGATCTTATCAGTCACTAGCCACGGCAGTACCCAGGAGGTGGTGAACGTCAAATTTGTATCTTATACTTGACTTGCAACCATCGTGGCACAGTTGGTAGAGTAATATAAAGCGAATCCGATGGCGGATGGGGTTCTAATCTCCTGCGTTCTGTTTTCCTTTGTTTTTCGTTTAGAAATTTGCGTTTGGATATGTGTTCAAAGACCCTTTTTATCACTTATGTTTTTCCCATTAAAGCCGGTTTCCATCACAACAATGCCCCGTCCGTTAAGCTTTTTCCTCAAATAACATCTCTTGAGAAAAAAATTCCTTTTTTTTCCTTGAATTTTCTCTTCAAAATAACAACTGATATCAATAACCCGTGGCATTTCAATCGTGGTGGGATTTTGTTGCTTTAGGAAAGTTAGTGAACATAACAAAACGCCCCTAAAATGTGTAAAAAATATGCAGCTGAGACACTCTCTCGTTAAAAATGTGTGACGCATCTGCTGGCAATTGGTTCAAATTCTATTCCATATTCATGAAGATTTACAGGCATGGGTAACGTAATTTGCCAGTTAAACGAGTTCGTGTTTTAGGAAAGGTAGCTTGATTTGGTTATGTTCTGCTCGAGGAGCCATTTGTGACTTTGAAAGCGTTTGGACTGGAGAATCTCTTTGTACTTTACTTTATGGTGAGTACCAGTTCTTGATATTTTACTACCTTTGACATTCAAGGCGTAAAAAACTTTGGACATGTTTGTTTGAGATGTTAACACGCGCACTTGCTGAAGAAATTCACGTTCCGCGTCGAGGATGTTTGACTCTTTATGTCGTCTGTAGCAAACGCTTAAAATTGGCATAACAAGGTCAGAGGGATCGATAGCCGAAAGCACTATTAAATTGAATGTTAGGCTAACGTAAACTTCTGGAAAAAGATGGGCTGATTTGTTGCTCATCGCTACTGTCTCACACGCCTAAACAAGCTGCGAAAATGTTTTGTTTCACGAGTCTTTGAATTATTAAATGTCGGAGCTGAAAACTCTACCTTTTAAGGCTTTCAGCTCGCAGCTTCTAATAAAAATTATCAATTTACTTTTATGTTAGCTTTCTTTCTTATGTATTTTTTTATCCTATCGACTTCAGGGTGATATATTTGATATATTGAGGGCAACCCCAAGACCTTCTTGACTCGAAGAACCCAGCTTAGAGCGCACTAATGAATACTTTGAATGATTCACATGTAGAGCCACCTTAGAGCTAGAAGATTTTGAGAGATTGAAGGTTTCTGAAATTATCCTTGCACACTGAGAACTTTGAATCGACAAAAGTTCTTTTTATGTAACTTCAAATAACCTCTTAGAAGCTTCCAGCCCCTTCATGTAGAGTGATCTTCTATGCATTCATGTCTGGCAAATTGAAAATAATTCCTGGGCGGTTGACTAAAAACTTTTCATGAAAAAATAATCATCGATTGAACAGAAACTCAACATTGTTGTCATATGTCACAACAATATTTTTTTTGAGTCTATCTCAAATTGATTTCTTCCATTTGATTGTTTAATCATATAATTGCCTCTGGCGAAAATTGTACTTAATTCAACGTCATTAACTCTTTCTACTTAAAGCGTGCCATGCAAAACGTGAAATACATTGCCAGATATGAGTTTTAGAATCTCACTTAATTTCATATAGAGCGTTGCCACTCACGTGACCTGCAGCGATATTAGTTTACTAAATAAAAGATGATATTGGCATAAAAATAGTTTATCTCCCGGAGGATTGGTTTTGAACACTTATATGGCCACGGTTATTTGTCTTGGAACACCAATATGTCTGCTGTGACGTCTCGTGAAAACGCACTCAACCGTTTCCAAATGCTGCAAAAAGTTTAAAGAAAGAGTACAAATTTGAAAAGGCATTGGTTTTCAATTCTATGGCATCAAAAGTACAAAACAATTACCTTTAAGTTGTGCTGGAATTTTATCCAAACATAGTTACTCGATTAACTATGATCCAAACAATGAGCATGAACCATTTTATAATATTTGCTGATCAAAAGTTTCCAAGAGGATGAAGAATGACTGAAAAGATCAAATAGTACGTCCTTGAAAAGGCCTCGAAAGTATATTCTTGATTCATCTGAACTTAAGGGCGAAGAAAGATTTCTCAAAATCGCTTTGAAGCTTTCAGAAGATAAAGACGTAAACTGGAAGAACAGCACTTATAAAATGCTTTTCACTTATATTGAGATTGCTTCTAAACTCAAAACATCGACTTTTTTTTAATGAAACTGCTTACACGAAAGTGCCCAAAGGATAAAGAAATGAATTTATTTCAATCGTTTTGAATTATTGGAACTTTTTCAAGACGCCACACGTGAAAGAAGTCGTGATTTTTTCTATGTAAATTTCTCAGAAAGTCATAGCTATTTCATCAACATTCGAAACATTATCGATTCCAAAAACTTTTTGCTTCTGCATCGTTGTTTGTCTCGCAACTTCTCGTTAATAGCATTGGAAACGGTGTTGCCAGAGATAGCAGAGTATATGTCAACATACAAAGACCTTTTTCGGCCTTCGATTAGAACAAATATTTTGACATTAGAACTTCGATTTTTATCCGTGGCAAATGAAACTTCAAATGAAATCTTGTAGCTACGATTTGAAGATACTTAGGCCAAGAGATTATCTGATTGTCTGATAAAAATATAAATTTTGGCCAAACCTTGGACTACTCTGCCTGAAAAATACATTTTATTACAAATACTATCAGTTTTGCATAAATTCCTTCTGTGAACGGAGAAATCAAAAGCTAGAAAAAGGTCTTCTTTAGTGCAACATGGCAGAATTAAGGTAATCTAAATTAAGTTTTAGTATAGAAAAATTAATATAGCTTGCCATGTTGTTCAAGTCGTGTGTATGTACCTTGTGCAAAAACCTCAAAGACACAATTTCAACGGTTACTAGTTACATTTGAAAATTTAACTTCATTTTAAGAAGTGGAACATTTTATCGAGCTTTATCAGAAGCTAGAGCATACAGCCGTTCAAAACATGTTTTAGAAAACTTTTTTGCACTAGGTAGTTATCACATATCTTTTGGCGGAAAATTTTAAAGGGAGCCACATTTAAATTTTTTGTGAGAAATGTTATTGTATTTTTGTGAGAAATTTTTGATTATTTAATGAAAAATCACTTAATTAATTAAAGACGAATACTTGTAGTATTATTGAACGAAATATTAATTTAGAAATAAAGATAACAATAAACAAAAATGCGGTGTTTAATGAATTTTATTTACAACGAGATATAGATAAAATAAGACTACTAGAATGTGAACTTCATTTTATTTGTATTATATATTAGGAAAAAAACGGCGCGTGCGTACTTTGGGCGCCCGTATTTTTCTAAGTTTTTTGGCGGGAAAACTGTAACGAGTTGATAAAGAAAAAAATTGGCGCATGCGTATTAAAGGCGCCTCTATTTTTCTAAGTTTTTTGGCGGGAAAAATTAAATTCTAACTATGGGTTACTAAGGATATACGTCAACTGAAACTGGTTTTGAAATAATCTTAACTTGATAAAGAAAACCTAGATTTCTTGCGTCATCTGTCAAAATAAAATCTTGTCAATAAGTTTCTACTTGCTCTGTTCTCTTCAAGATTTTTACCACTCACGGGTAAATTTGGAAAAGTAATTTAGAAAATCTTCGCTGCAATTCGTTTCGAATAATCTTACCTGAAGGAGACCAGTTAACTTTATTTTCTATCTTTACTGTAAACTTGTCTTTCGCTTGATTCGTTGTCTTTAAGTCTTAAGTGAAACATCACGGTCATCCAACAAGCTGGTCAGCGGTGATTATGGCGGTAAGACGTGTTCCGAGCCTGTCCGTAATTTTATTAAGTTTTTCGCTGTTAGCTTTGTTCTCTGTCAACTTACACTCTCTCAAGCTCTCGAAGAATGCTCAAGTGTATTACGGGGATAAATACTTCAAGTATTTCAACTCATACCCGGTCGATTTCAATCTAATTTCGCCAAGGCATATGTCAACGATCGGCGGCCATTTTGTCACCTCACCTCACAAGAAGTTTCAGAAGTCAAGAGTGGCGTACTATTCAAACTGTACGGCTTCCTTCAACCCGGTTGCTCTTTCTGTGGTTAGAAGTGGAGACATTCATCCTCATCCAGGACCTCACAGACAATGTAACTCAAGAAACCCTGGTCCACCATTGGGAAAGAATACTCTTAAAATATCTTCCTTTAACGCAAGTTCATAGCAGTTAAAAAGACT